GGCTCCTCTATGAGGAGGTCATGGAAAGACTCCACGACGTGTTCGATCACCCCCACGAACTCGTTGTTCGTGGGGGACAGGATCATGCGCTGCGCCACAAGGTGGCCAACGGTCTGTGCGGCGTTGCAGAGACCGAACGGGAGCACTGTCGGGGCGCTCTGGATGAGGTATTCTAGGGAGAACGGATCCCTGTCGGTAAGCTGTGCCATGACGCTGGCGAACGAGAAGGTGAGGTGGCGCGGGTCCTCCCGGGACGGTTAGGGTCCTAGGAAGACGCCGAGCTGACGCTCCAACCATTGGTAGTCAAAGTCGAGGGGCTGACTGCTTCTAGGGGCTTGGGCCTCTGGCGCATGTAGCTGTAGCTCCTCGAGCATCTCGGCGATCGCGTTGAGGCCGGTGGAGTGGATGGGCTGAACGACAACGGGCGCCCACGCCAGCGCTCTCTCCGCTATGACGATGAAGTCCAGGTCCCCGAAGCGCACGTGTGCACTCGGGACCTAACTGATGCCGTGACTAGCCGTCCGTGGCCTGATGTTAATGTCGGGACGCGCAAAGTCCCCTACCTAGCGTGCCAACTGTCAGTGTTTTGAGTAAACACCAATGAGTAAATTTGTGTTATTGCGCATTTGGCCTGGATGGTGTGCTAAAAAGATACAAGGTTTATACTAGTTCGGGCAGAATGTCCCTACGTCCAGTTCGTGGCTGTTGCTCATGTTATTAGCACTGAAAAGTTTGTAGTAGGGGTTACAAACGAGCGAGAGAGGGATAGGTCCCAAGTCTCTGATGGAAATGTCAAATGGGTGCTGAGAGCTTGGTTGCTATCCAGCTATATGTTTGAGGTTCGATGCTAGTGGTTCTGCTGTGAAGTCGTGAAATCAATCCCCTTAGTGGGGTGCCTTGCTTTCCCTTTTATAGGCCAAGGGAGAGTAGGGATTACAGATGGGAGAAAAGAGGAAAACCAGAGGCAAAGCAAGTCCTTCAAGGACTCCAGGTCTTCCTTTTTCTCTGTGCGGGCCCCACTGACATGGCAGGCGGTGAAAGGGATAGCTCCACGCCGGGCGCATGTCCGCTGACCCTGACAGGGTTGCGCTGGGCATATGTTCACTGATGATGCCATGTCCTGGCATTGTCAGCGAGTTGTCACGTCCCATCCCGTCCCACACGGGCGGCACGGCGGACCAGGGTGTTGATCAACGGCCATACAGGGAGCAGGCAGCACAGTGACCGCATGTCCGTTACTGTGGATGATGCGAGTTTCCTTCTGGACCGCAATGATTGTCGTGAGCTTCCGTAAGGATCCGTGCCCGAGGGAAAATGATGGCGCCCACAATACCGTAAGGCAAATGTCGGCACCTACAACACTGTTTGGGCTCTGACATGCCTGGAAGGTCACAAAGCACCCTTCTGGCATGGCCTGACGGTACTTTCCTGCAGGCGTGCAGGGTACGGTCCTCGGTATTGTGGTTGACTTGAGTGCTCTGCCTTATCTGCGCGCGTCGTTATAAAAGAGTCACGCGCAGACGTTGGGCTAGGTGGATCCAACCCTTAGACGCCCTCAAACATCGGGCGAAGCGGAGCCAGCCCTCAGACGTCGGGCGAGGCGGAGCTGGCCCTCAGACATCGGGCAAGGCGGATCTAGCCTTCGAGGGTCGGGCGAGGCGAACCCACCCCTCAGACATCGGGTAAGGCGGAGCCAGCCCTTGGACGTCGGGCGAGGCAGAGCCAGCCCTCGGGGGTCGGGTGACACGGAGCCATCCCTCGGGAGTCAGCCGAGGTAGAGCCAACCCTCGGGGGTCGGGCGAGATGGGCCCTGCGGCCGCAGCGCCCACCGAGGCGGAGCCAACCCTCGAGGGTCAGACGAGGCAGGGCCCACCGCCTAGGTGGCCGGACGAGGCGGGACCTGGCAAGCGGTGTAGTCGCGCTCTCGATCGCGTGGACAAATCAACGTTTGATGGTCATTAGCTCCTCCTCTTTGGGTACCCTAGTATTGGTCCCCAACACAAACGAAATTCAGTCAAACCATTCATAATACACTTCGATCTCCATATGATAACAAATGCTAATTAAGTATGATAGCATATCAAGACTCCACAAATCCATTCCCTGTAATATAATCTGATCTCTATTTGGTATTGAAGTATGGAGCACTTTCATGGCCCGTCACTCAATCATGTGCTTATAAAAGAGCTAAAGCATCATGTCCAGGTACGATGCGGAGTACAATTTCGGTATGAATTTAGAATACGTGACGTGATTATTGGATAAATCTTCAAACCTCCTATGCCCTTATGAATTAGAGTAACGCACATCATCTAGACATGGTACAGGGTCTAATTAGTAGACCAGTAGATGGAACACACATGATGCGATTGTTGAATAAGTCTCCAAGTAGTAAATCGTCTAGGTTACTGCACAATGAACTATACATCTATTACAACGCATAGGCATGTTTGTTTACAATGTGCATGCATGTTTGTTGATCTTATCCATAATCCCTAACTTATGTACCAAGATAATAGTAGCGAAAATTGATAATTAGTGTGGTTGAGCTCCTGTTTCCTGGATGCCCAAACTAAAATCTACTTGTCCATTGTTTGCAAGGATGAAGGAGGATTGCAGCATCCCCACTGAATCTGCCCTGCGAAGCGTTTCACTTCATGAGGAATGGCTAAATCATCAAATTGTAATAGTTAGGGGTAATATATTATTTTAGTATTAGGCAAACAAGAGAAACCTGCATACTAAGTCTCGAGATCTGCATATTAATGTCAATGTTGATCTAAATATTGAGCTAGTAATATATTATATTATCGTGAGATTCTATGAGATAGTTACAAGCTCTAAGACAACTTCTCCTGTGGCATAACTTTGTACATAGCTCATAATATGAATAACCCTATATGACAACCTCACATAATCCCGAAATATGTGCATGAGACTAGTTCTTAATTAAGAGATAACATTTCTCTCTTTTATTAAAATATAAAATAATATGCTTAAAGCTAACTTATAAATCACCATTAGAGGCCTATTCCGCCGTCTGCAGCACGAGGGCGCTGATCTCACGTTTTCATGGTATCAAGAGACAGTTCTCTCCTGCGGCCTCTCTCCGTTTCCATAAATCTTAGCCGTCGCTTCCTTGTTGTCGCTGAGTTGCTCGCCGACAAGCCCTAGCCGTCGGTAGATCCTCGCTAGCCCCTTCCTTTCCTGCGCGCGATCTCCCGTCGTACACCCGTCGCAGAGGGGCGGAGCTACCCTAGAGGTGTGGTGGGCAGGGGCGGTCCACCCATGGACCGAGTACATATAAAAACCTAACTTCCATAGCATGTATACTCTAACAGGCGCCCCAAGCCTCTTCACCTAGCGGCCAACCTTTCTCTCCCTGGGGCCTCAACGGCGGCAACGACGTACACGAAAGTCTAAATGTTTATTGCTCGAGAACAAGTCTCAAGGCCTTCTTTTCTCAATTGTCATTTTGTCAAGATGTGTAATGTATAAGGTCGTCCCTATCTATAATCATCACCCTCTGGAGCTTAGGGTTGGTCATTTTTCCAACGCTATGGATGCCCTAATTAAAGGACGCGCATGTCAAACCCAACAAACGATCTTCTTTTCCTCGTTTCTTCCCTGGATGGAAGCAACCTAGTACGTGCTTTTACATCATTCAACGAACTTTTTTTGATGCAGTGATGATGCATGTACATGCGTATATATTGGCACGTAGCCACGTATACAATATATATAGCTTGCTACTAGCTAATCACTTGTTTAAGCAACAGTTTTCATTCCGTGCCCACTCCTGCTTATTGTAATTAATTGTTATATATATAGGAGTAAAAGCTAGCGATCGTGATCATGCAGGCTGCAGCACAGGTTTATTCTTTTCACAGTCCTTTGTCCTGCACCTAGCCGCGGCATGCTCTAGTTATAGTTTAATTTCTTGACACGTACGTACTAATTAATAACTCCGATCCCTTAGCTTCCGTGCATCATCCGATGCGTAAAGCTAGATGCGAACGCGCGCGCACGGCCGGGCAGCAGGCGCGCGCATAGTTTATTCGCTTGATTGATCGCCTCCCCGCATTCGAAATTTAGTTTGATTAATTACATGCAATCTAGCGGTTGTTAGTACTATATCTTGTCTTCGTCCTGTAGCCTTCCCCTTTATTATTTCTTGGATTTTTCTTCCCGGCCGCAGCCCTCCATGAGACCATGACCTCCAGAAAAAAGGCAGGAGGAGGAAAGAGAGGGCCAATATTGCAGCAAGCACTCTCTTAATTAACGTTTCTGTGGTGTGGTGGTGGCTCGCCAAGTCGCCATCGTGAGCGATCGAGCCACCTCGATCCGGCCCTAATCTCTTCCCACTGGCCCTTCGCCGCCATTGTCAGGGTGAGTGGTGACTTTCCTCTTCGATCGATTGGCTGACCCTTCCTCCTTTGGTCAAACAAATAGTAATAATCCCGTTTGTTTTCAGCACACACTGGGATCGGATCGGAGTCTGACGACCCAACCCCACGAAGCAGCTAGCAGCCCATACGCATGCAAATGCACCCTCGTCAGCACGCAGGCACACAATGCCATGCAATGATGCAAGCACGAGCGAGTAAAGCCACCGCCGCCGCCGCCGCCGCCACCAAACGTGTTCCTCTGAAGCCTGCAGGCGGCAGCAGCAGCAGCAGGGCCGTAACGTTCCTGCACGCGGCATGCAGCTTCGGCCTTCGGCGGCGTCCGGCCGGGGCAGTATTTTATCCGATCCGCCTCTGAGTCTCTGACCTTTTCGTGAAGGCAAAGCGTACGTATTCAACGCGCGTACTTTTCTTGACGCCCGGTTTGGTGTGTGATTGCTGATTAGCCACTAGAGTATATATATACAACTTGTCGCCTCAAACGCTTCCCAGTTCCAGTTACAGCAGCGCGCAGAGTTCTTCTTCAATTCAATCGTCGGCCCATCGCCGTTCCGAAGCTCGCTCTCGAGAAAACTTCTCATCATCGATCGGCCAATGATGATGCAACGCAACACCACCATATCGTCGTCGGCGAAGGCCAAGAGAGGGGTCGTTAGCAGCCTGCAGGGCCCGAGGCCGCTGCCGCTGAGCCTGCTGGACACCGCGTCGTCGTCGTCGCCGCCCCGGCCGGCCAAGAGACCTCGCGTCGTCAACGGCGGCGGCGACGACGACAATGATGTCAGGGCACCGCCGGCGGCGGCCGCGGCGCGGGGGCCAGTGATCCTGTACGAGCACACGCCCAAGGTCATCCACGCGCGCCCGGACGAGTTCAAGGCCCTCGTGCAGAGGCTCACCGGCCGGCAACCGACCGGGACCGCGGGCGGCGGCGGCCATCAGGGTCAAGAGGCCGTGCTTCGGCCGGCGGCACAGACGGCGGCGGCGCCGTCGTCGTGGCAGCAGGCGGGTGGCGGCGACCCCCTGGTGATCACGCTCGGGCAGCAGCAGCAGGTCCCGCTCCCGCCGCCGCTGCCGCTTGATGAACATCACCACACGCCGCCGGGGCTGCCTTCGCCGGGCGGTGCTGGTTTCCTTCTCTCCCCGAGCAGCTTCCTCTTCTCGCCCGCCACCATGCAGGCCATACAGGAGCTCATCAGCTGATGAGTGCTTTGATCATCTCTACTCTCCAGTGGAAATCCAGCTGCAGGCCTAGCTTGCTTGCCAACGAAGAGAGACAGACAAGAGCAAGCTGCAGAGAGACTGCCAACTACCTGATGTATAACTCGTTCTTTCATTCTTTTATTTATATTAGCAAAAAAATAGGAGTACCAGTAAATGCAGATGGAGTTGGTTGAAAGTGTATCACCCGATTACCTGTCTACTAGTCTCCTTCTTTTTTATTTTTATTTTTATTTTTATTTTTATTTTTGTACACCAACTTAAGCGATCAATACATTTGTACATGTCTTATCTCATTATATACTATGTTGGTATATAGCCATCAAAGTTGTGTTGGCAAAGAGGTGGTTTCAACTACACATTAACAGTTGGTAATTGTACAACCTTTTAATGTCATATAATCTGTCGGCAATGATGTTGTATGGCTACAAATCAACTGTCGGCATTGCTCTGGGAACACTGAAACTGTCGGCAAACATTTGTAGACACAATAAGTGTCGGCGAAGCCTAACCGAGCCAACAACTCAAGTGTCGGCGAAAGTGTGTACGGTCCTGCCATACTCCGCCTTCGGATCTTTTCACCAAAAAGATGCATGCGCGGGAGTGAAACAGACTTTTCGCGTGGAGCCAAATCCATCCGTAGCGCGGACTGGCCGGTGAAACGAAAAAACCCTCAGAATATACTCCCCCTCTCGCCTATAGCACGAAAAGGAAAAAGCCCCGCGGCCCATACACGCACGACCCACGAGTGCGCCCGCCGCCGCCGCCTCCCACGGACGCCAAGCCTCGCCGCCTCCCACACCGAGCCTCGCTGCCACCGCCTCCCACGCCGAGCCTCGCCACCGCAGCCTACCATGCCAGCGCCCGCCGCCGCCCGCCACCGTCCGCCGGAACCCTAACCACGGATGCTCCATCGCCTGCAGTTCTGCGTCGACGCAAGATGTGGCCCATCCTCGCTCCCCATCGGTTGTAGCTCCGGATCTGCACGCAGGATTCGTTTGGGTTTGGAGTTCTAGCGGCTGGCACCAAATCCTCCCGTCGCTGCTCGTGCGCTGGGCTCCACTCCGGGTGCTCTCCTTTGTTCCAGGTAAGAGCCCCCCTTGCTCCTAGAGGCTGCACTCTCCTCGATTCGGCCCCTTTCACCTGATTCTAGGATTTACAATATCCCTGGATCTGAACAGATCCCTCTTTCCAAGGAGGTATATATGTCATAGAGGATCTTGCTACTGCCTGTGCTCTCGAGAAAGCTAATAATGCACATGGAAAAAATAGAAAATTTAACAAATGACTCCACTGCTAATGGCTGCAAAATATTGGAGTTACTAATGGGTGGGAATTAGCCAATGAGATGTTTGGATGACCCCTTGCACTGTAAGATTTGATGTGTGCCACTCAGTCACTGTAGATCATTGTCTATGCATGCATTCTCAGGATTGGGTGTTAGGATGATTCATATCTGCAACCAGGTATTCAGTGCAATTGAAAGTTCTTTTGTTTTTCCAATTAACCATTGGCAACCAGGCTTTACAAATCAAAAGATGCAGGCTGATTCATTGTGAAGTTGTTAGACTTTGTTGGCTCATAGTAGCCCTTTTTTTGGTACACTTGGAACAGATTCTCATGGGTTTGGAATTTTTAATTTTAGGAACAATTGAAGGAGAAACACATGATGCTGATGATCTGTATAAAATTTCAGTAAAGAGAGACCAAATGTTCTCCTTCAATTCCTTCATCTTATGGCAACATCTCAACACTTCTGAAATTGTAAGTTTGCTTTATCTCTTTTTGTATTATGTATTCTTATATGAGTTCTCACGTGAGTTTTTGTATCAGTAATGGAAATCCACACACTAGTAGAGAAACGACCTTTGATCCACTTCGAAATTTGGCTTTAGTCCCGGTATTTTTCATGCCCGGGACTAGAGAGAACTTTAGTCCCGGTTTGTAGCTCCAACCGGGACCAAAGGTCCCTGCCCAACGGCTACTGCGGCAGGCTTTTGCTGCAGGGGACCTTTAGTCCCGGTTGGAGCTACCAACCGGGACTAAAGGTTAACTTTAACTCCCAGTTGGTCCCTCCAACCGAGAGTAAAAGTCTACTCTCGGCTGGAGGCTCCGTCCGGGACTATAAAGAGACCTTTAGTCCCGGTTGCTGTCTCCCACCGAGACTAAAGGTCTCCAACCGATTGAGCATGTGGACGGGCTGCGTGGGCCTCAACTGCGTCGCCTGAGCCTGACCTGACCTGACACAACCGGAGCTTCCGCCGTACTACAGCCTTTCTTCCAGCTTTTTCGCGTCGCATGGCAACAAGAGACGACGACGACCCAGACCACATGCATCCATCCAAAAAGCCCATCACCATTCCATCGACTGGATGATCGTCAGTCACCACGTCGGAAATAGGGATGCGATCCGTACACTAGCTACTACACCTTGCTGTGTTGTGCTCCATGCACCGTCACCCTTCCTGCTTTGCCATGGCCATGCTCTTGTTCGATCCATCGAACACAGCAGAGGTGCTAAGTTAGCTTTAGTCCCGGTTGATGTTAGAACCGCTGTTCGCTGTTAGAACCGGGACTAAAGGCTGCATTAGCTTTAGTCCCGGTTGCTGTCTCGATGGCCCGTCTCGACCGGAAGCCCACACACAGTAGAGAGCATATACCAGAATGGAGCAGCCCAGTACGCAATATGCTGGAATTGCTGGCCAATCCCACCTATTAGCACCACCTCGCTTGCTCAGAAGAGTGAAAGCTAACTTAAAAGCTCAGCTCTGGAGTCATGAAGCACGACTTTACTTGAAACGGATCTGGTCTATAGGATCGTACCACTGCATCCTTGATACTTTAGTTTGTACAAAATGTTACGTATATTCTAGCAGCGTAGAATGCGTATTCGAAAGCCAAAACGAATCATCAAATGAAAATAGAAACAAAAAAGAAAAGAAAATAGAAAGTCCGGGTAGCAGCGTAGAATGCGAACGAATCATCAAAAGAAAATAGAAAAGAAAAAGAAAATAGAAACCCGGTAACAAGAAAATAGAAAAGAAAAAGGAAATAAAAACCCGGTAACAGCGTAGAATGCGAATGAATCATCAAAAGAAACGGTAGCAGCGTAGAATGCGAACGAATCATCAAAAGAAAATAGAAACAAAAAAACCTTTAGTCCCGGTTGGTAATACCAACCAGGACTAAAGGGCCGGCCCACGTGGCCAGGCCGGGAGACCTCTTTAGGGCGAGGAACCGAGACTAAAGGAGGGACCCTTTAGTCCCGGATTCGTGCTCCCGGTTGGGAAACCAAGAATGAAGGGGTTTCTCAACTGGGAGTAAAGCCCGTTTCTGTACTAGTGACATTTGTTTGACAACCCTCATCATTATTTTCCAATTACAATGATAAGATTCAATTCTTGACACGAATAAGTATCTGGACTTGTAGATTTATACTTCTGTATTTTTGTCTTAGTTATGCACTAGTTACTATTGCATGGATCAATAATAACATGTTTGGTCCCTCTGAAGGACCTACCAGTTGTCTACATAGCAAAATGCATACTATACTTTTTCCAATTATTGGTTATATGCTTAAAATGTTGATTAACAAAACTTAGACATTTGATTAATTTCTGATCAAGCTACTTGTTTCTTGTAATGATCTAGTTGAGTGGCTCTTTATTCGTAACATGGTACCAAAGCTCTAGGTTTAGATCCATTCACCACTCTTCCCTCTCCTGCGCTGGCCCATCTCTGCTGCTCCGGGGGTGGCCTCGTTGATCTTATATTTTTTTGGGTTTTTTATTCATACCATTATAATTATTTGCTTCCCACAAGAATGCCACAGAATACGTATAGGGACGACTTGGGCCCAGCTGCAGATGTATACGACAACGTGTATTCTCGTATGGACTCAAATGCCCTCGGCTCCCTATCCACAACAGCCCCTCTCATGTACACAGTAGACATCCAGTTTTTTACCCAATATGACTAGCATCTCAAGACACTGGCATTTGAATGCCTTGCAAATGAAGGTGTAAAACTTTAATGCATCTCAAGAATTCAAGTTTGCTTTATATTTATTCCTCCTCTCTTTTTTTCCTGCAGCGTTTATTACAGTTTATATTAATCTAATTGATATTGTCACCATCAGGAGTTTGAGGAACTGTAGCTTGGAAGGATCTGTTCCTGACATCAGTGGAATACCCCAACTTGGCTACTTGTATGTGTAAAGTTCTATACTGCATAATCACCTTTTAGGAAAAGAAATTACCCTTTTTTATTATTAGAAGAAAAGGTATTAGTTTTTTGGCTTTTTGCACATGGTGTTTATGAGAATTTGGCAAGTTATCTTTTGTTCTCATCTTTGTCCAATGTGTTTCAGGGATCTTAGCTGGAATCAGTTGAGAGGTGCAATACCAGCCAACCAATTTGCGAGCAACATAACTACAATGTATAAAACAGAACCCTTGCAGCCAAATCATAGTATTTTATTTATTATACTAAACATTTGATAAAATCTATCATTTATTGATCATTCTGATTGCATAGACAGTGATTCTCACATATTCATATTGTGAAGTGATCTTTCCCACAATTATCTTAATGGTTCCATTCCAGGAATTTTCTCTGGCCTTCCTAATCTCCAAAGATTGTAAGTATGACCTAACCCTTTTTTCACTATTTATGTATTAGTGTGTGCAACAACTGTTAAGATCTTTGTATCATTTGCAAAATACTTTGCATAGAGGATAGGTTTCTAGATATCGAGGGTAATAACATTTGTGGTGGAAGCCTTTACACAATTCTTTCTTAATAGTAACAGTTACAATATGCTTCCTTATAGAGGCCTCTCCTTTTATATAAATTTAATCTAATAGATATAGAGTGTTAACCACAAGATAAAATCAATGTGTTCTCAGTACCTTCTGCAGGCCCGTCCCATGCTTTCAAAAAATAATTTTCTTTCACTGAGGATAGTTTGTTTATCTCAAACA